GAGTACAGTTAGTTTGGGTTTGAAATAAAAGCAAATTTTACATTAGTCATTTAAGTCAAACTATATGTTAGTGTATATTGAAGGAAATGATATTCATCATTGATGTTGACCGAGAATTAGTATGAATGTAGGTACAATATCGTCACTCAATCGTATTCCAAAACTCACAGTCTTGACTGGATAATAGACAATAATGTCTCGATTCATTAGTGTGCTTGCCATTTTCCAATTTTTGTTCTTCTGTTCCTCTTTTAGACATTTAAATATGGCAGCATGTCTAAGCGTTTCAAATGTACTGACAAATGACTCATTATAGTGAGCACTTGAATAATACATTCACTACGTCACTACATGTTGCATAGCGAATAGCATACATCTCTGATTTTCGGTGAACATCACAGTTTAATTACATCACTCTCCAAATATTTTAAAAACATTTACAGAGATGACAAATTAATTTAATTTTTAAGATAAATATTCTGCATATTTGCTGGATAAATGTTAAAGAAATACTTTATATATCCAAAGTATATTTCGATGCAAGCTATGTCAGTTTTGTTGAGAAAGTAAATTTGAATCTACAACATAGAAGAAAAAAAACCCACCCAATAAACAAAGAATATTCAATCCTTTTCAAGTGTATTCCCCATTGTTTTTCTAAACCCATTCACATGCACCTACGATAAGCCTCTGTAAGCTACTATCGTTTTCTGCGCAGAATTAAATGTTCTATAATATCAAACATCCTTCTCGTACTTGGATCTTTTTTTCATTTTATTTGGCCAAAAGAACGTTGAATAAACGTTTCATATCTGTGTCTAATTTAGCGCTCCTGAAAAATATATATTCAGCATTTGCTTTCTCTTCTACATTGAATATTTTGATACATGTGATTGTTGAATATAATCGATATTTCACAGAACCAAATTGTCTAATACAGGTAAATGTCTTTAAAACATAGTATAAATTGATATTCACCATAAAATCTACATTCAGCGAGTGATAAATCCATCTACATTCTGACCATTCATTATTAACGGAAGCATATTATTGTAGTGCTGTTTTCCAAATATTAACTTATAGATTCATTAGTTATTCAAATGTTCTCGTTGATTTGTTTAAGTAGACCTATTTAGTATACAGTGTTTTGTTTTACTGTGAATATTGACATTTATCTATCTTGCATTTGTTTTATCTCTATTTTTGTCTGCAATGACTACACTGTTTTACGAGATGTGCATGAGGATCGTGAAGTGTCACGCAAAACGGTAATTTTAAGACTTCCATGTGCATTAAGTTTTGACTAAGAATAATCTTATCTTAAAAAGACTGCTACGCCACTCTCTGATACAGTCTCTACATTTAATCTTTTATCCATTTTCCCAAAGTGCCACTCATGATATCTAATTTTTAATTTCATGTATTTGAAATGTATGTAGAAAACATATCCTGTCTCACATTGTGGACAGATGTAAACATTAAAATCACGAGAAGCAAATTGCATTAGCATTATTACAAGTCCTGGAAAACCAAGACATTTATTTTAATTGACTAATAAGATCGTTGCAATCTATTTATATTGACCAATAGAGACAATTTCAAAAATCTTGTGTCCTCTGGGATATATTCTAAATATAATTTAGTGTCATTCTATATCTACATTAGTTGGATGGGGTGAAAAGTGTCTGCAAACTACAATTGTGAAAATGATTTTATTTTCTCTTCAGTTTCTTATCCTCTAACATTTAAAATTTTGTTTTTAAATTATGAAAATAAAATAGGGCCAGCTCGTTAGAAATCTCTTGGATGGTATTCAGTGGTCCATCACGTGAAGATCACGGTGTGAAAAACATTACTGTGATAACATTTTTAACGTGATAATTGATGACCTACCAATAGCTTTACCTTCTGTGATATCGTGATAATTGATGACCAACCAATTGCTTTACCTTATGTGATAATTGATGACCTACCAATATCTTTACTTTCTGAGATATCATAATATACCCTGTCACCCCAACATGATCTGATCGTGCTGGACTTTATGCATCCTTGACATATCTTCTCTCTCTGTCCTTGTGGTTTTGATCTCTGCTCTGTCAACGGGTATATATTACATATTACATACATAAAGTGGATATGTCTTTCTTATGCAATCCTCCCAAACTACAAAATTTTGGACAAGTGATAGCTCTCGTTTCTGTACATGCATTATATCCATATTTCCCGTATGTTTCTCTCAAATATTTGTGGGATTTTTCTCCCTGTCTATTTTCTTTTGGCAGCTAGATGAAATCGGTTATCTTCTGGATATTGTATAACAGTATTCTCTCCACAAAGTCCTATTCTATACGTATTGATGAAATAATTCTTGCAGTTATCCAAATAAAAGAATTCATGGTATTTCCAATTCCGGTAAATTTTGTCCATTAGATATTATGAACATTGGAAATATATATATATATATATATATATATATATATATATATATATATATATATATATATATATATATATATATATATATATACAATCAAGTTCAATTTTCGGAGAAAATTGATCAACGCAAATCAAAGACAACTTTCTTGGATGCATTTTTTACCTTCTGCTGAAAGATAATCATAATAATATTACTGTACTTGTTTTGGTCAAATCTTTGGGATACGTACTTACGCTTGAAAGAATTTAAGCTAGCAAACATTTATTTCTTTAAAATCTAGGCCTGGATTGTGATTTGAAATCTCTAATATATTTAATTGTTTCACTTTAGCCACCTGATGTTTCATCTCTTTCTTCTTTTGGTAGTTTCTATTTTATTTTCTCTTATAAATATATACCCGTGCCTATATTGTCATCAGTATGACCGTCATTTCCTTCCCAAACATATGGCGACGGTTACATCTACTGCAAAATATTAATAGGCAGAAGAAGGAAACGTTCCTAAAGTAATATTCGTTTACACTAAATAAAAACAGACTCCTTTTACAAAGCAGATTGCAGAAGTAGTGGAGGGAACTAGTACAGAGCCAGTTATGGAAATTACGTTCATATTATCATTTAAGGTGTGATATGTGCAAACCAACCGTTTGCTGAATGAACAAGACTCAGAAACAGGCAACCAGTCCAGACATTCCATGAAATATTCACGTTAACTAACAACAGAGTGATGGTTAAGTTCAACTGGTACATGACACATTAATAAAAATACATAGAAACGAAACTTGGATAAAGAACGATGCTTATACAATGGCCAATGCTAGCAGAGAGGCAGCCACCAAAAGGCAAGTTTTATGTTTCGTTTTCGCTATGAGTTGCCAAGATGCTATTTAATTATTTCAATACTGTGAGAAATAATCTGCAGCTTTCACACTGTTAAATTTTGTTTAAGAAAATCATTAGATGTCATTTATCTAATGACTCACTAGTGAAAGAAAAATTATTTATTAGCTCTTCTAACCAGAACCTGAGCTGTATCTTATTTGTATCTTATATCTATAATATTGACCAAGTAGATCTTAAAGGGTTTCAGCAGACGTTGTGTTGGTGAAACGTTTTCCATTGATGATTTTCGTTCATGCAACAAGCAACAAAAGCAAAACAAAGCAAACCACACAAACCCCTCTCAAGACACTAAACTTAAAAGAAAAAATGGAAAAATCAACACACACCTACCCTCCCCAAAAACCTAAAGCAATGCCAGCATAGAAATGTAAATCATTTACGACGTATCGGCGAGAATTATTCCTTTCAGTAAATGATATGCCTCGCGTATTATCTAATATATGAATAAATATAACAAGTACCTTCCTTTCCTAGAAATTCGTGTTGCGGGAAGTTATTTATTTGATACTCCAAAACTTAATAGATTAGTTAAAAGCAATGTTACCCGAAACGTTACCACAAATATATACATTTGACGTCACTAATACAAGGATAAACACATTTGTCGTCGAGATTAGGGGACCATACACTTCCAGTACTTAATTTCCGATAACTCGTTTAAAACACAAAAATAGCAATTCCAGCAGGTTTTCATTGCCTAAGTTGCTCACAGTGAATTGACTTTTGCCACAGTCTGTTTGAGAACATGTTTTTTTAAGCATGACAATAGGTTGGATTTTGTCCTTGTTCAATTGGCGATAACGCAGTTTAAGTGCTTTAAATCTGCAGTTTTCTTTTTCCCTCAAGTGTCGTCTTCTTCTCATTTGTTTTCATTAATATACTAAGCTAAGGCCCTCAAACGTGTCTCTCAGTAATTTATCCATCTTGACCATCAAATTTATATAAAGCTAAGACTCTTTACATGACATTTTAAACCGTTTACAAAATAGATTGGTTGGTTGCTTTTTAATGGCAATGTAAAAACAATAACTCACCACAAGAAGCTGTGAAACAATCAGAGGAACGCCTCCCAAAGGACAAGAAGAAGCAAGCCATGTGGGCTGGTATCGAATCTGAGACTATTGTGTTCAATCAATTGAGCTACCGCGGATCCTAAAGCTATAGAATAGGAGACTATTATGTTAAAGGAAAACTTCTCAATCATGGGATCAGGTGATTTGTTTGACTCAAAATTAATTAATAAAATACTAGAAGAGACACTAAGGGATTTTTAATTACGAAATATGTGTAAAATAAATGACAAAACATTCTGAATTCACTGGTGTATGTCAAGCATCAGAATAAATCAAGGAAAAAATAAATTAACAAACATAGGTGCCGATATTAAGATATAAGTGTAGCATTAACAAGGGGTTATGTATTACAAGGCCAATAAGCAATTGCCTAGTTATTGTGCCTTGAAAATATTGTGATAAACATTTTACAAATCTCCAGGAACATGCAGTAACGTATCAATTGGGTGTGGATTGCGACAGATTTAGTGGTTGCTTGAAGTTTTGGTGTGTCAAAGCCACTGGTGCTAGAGGTCATGGTTCACTAAAATCGAATTGGGCCTTCATAGTCGCAACATATAATATGTCTGGTAATTTATTTGGACAGTTCCAATGGCTTATTTGTTAGAGCATCCGCTTCGGATGCAGGAGGTCGTGGGTTCAATCCCCGGCTGAGCCATAACAAAGACTTACAAAATTGTTGCTAACAGCTTCCTCGCTTAGCGCTGAGCATTAAGAGGTTTGTGTTAGGAACTGGTAGACCTGGTGTCAGGATAATGTGAATTGGTAAACATAATGCTAAATGTATGTGGCATGATTCTCCAGTGCTAGACATCGCTAAAAGCTGCCACGCTGCAGACATCGTAGAGATATGACTGAAAAATTGTTCAAGCTAAGCTAAAAATACAGGTCTCTCTCTCTCTCTCTCTCTCTCTCTCTCTCTCTCTCTCTCTCTCTCTCTCTCTCTCTCTCTCTCTCTCACACACACACACACACACACACACACACACACACACACGGATACTTGTACAATAAAACAATAGAGCTTTCAAACACTACAATGCTTTAAAGAGTTATGAAAAATGAACATATACAGGTAAACATTTGAAAGATTTATAATACTATAATGAATAGATCTGATATTGTTATGCACAAACGCATTAAAATGTGTTCCTACCTTTATATTTCAATAAATATGGTCCAAATACTTTCAAGAAAAGTAAGATTTTTCAGCCCTTTCCACATGGTAATTTGCATTAGAAACAAAACAATTATATAGCTGAAAACATGTTGCGATAGTTGATGCTTGTATCTGAGTTATCTTGATGAAATGTTGTGGATGCCAAAGACAAAATAAACCTAATGACTGTCTCCATAAATATAAGAAATACTGATATAGATCTATAGTAATACGGGTAAACGGTATAAGAAAAACTATGTTCAAGGCAAAATGTGATTGCTGCTACATGCATTTTACTTGTCTTATTACATGTTATAGAAATATGTTTTGTATATAAATATTGATAGATAAGTTTTCTATGAATGCTGATCACGTTAAAGCTTATTGATATAATCATGCTTCAATGATGAAAGCTTTAGCCTCACTAATATTTTATAGCATTTCTCTGCAAATGTCCATAAACTATGTACCAGGTTAGTAACTTTAGGATCTTTGAACTTCCAGTGATCACGCAAACATTTGTATCAATAGATACGTTTTCTGGTGGCATGAAATTCAGCCTTCCACCTATTACCAAATTATGGACTGTGCGCTTTGCTACTCACGTTCGATTTTTTTGTCTTAGTCACGGGACGAAAACATTAAGGAAACAAAATTATGCTATTGTATTCAAGAGGTCAATAAGGTCGATGACTGGTTAACAGGTACTATTAAAAACGTTTATGTCAAATATGATAATGAATTCTAAGAATAATATTCTGCTGAATTGCTCCAAAACACTCGTGATTTCGTTGTGGAACATATGGAACATTGTATTGTCTGTATTAATAAGTAAACTTTTCGCGTCACGCAGAAGTTAAGTGGCTAAGAAGACCTTCCCAAAACAGATGTTGCTTAATACGTAAGTCTTAATCATTGCTTTCGTATTTGGTTATGACCGGTATATTTAGCCATCTATTGTCAGTCAATTTTGTTGCTTCTTTGATTCAATTATACATAATACGGATACTTTACTGATATGATTAATCACGGACATCTGTCATCTTTGAAAACTTTGCAACATGAAAATCTGTCTAGAGTTAAACTTATTACAATTTTTAAACAGCCAGCTTTTCATAAAAATTGTTTTAAATATTTCGACATATAGATAAACAGACACTTCAAAGAAACAAAACAATAGCAGAGGTTAATAACTTGCTTGTAATTTTACCTAATATGGAATGATATACCACATTTGAAAAGAAATAGTTCAATCTGAATTGCAACACTTTCTAGATAAAGAGACAAAACCGGATTAACGGATTCGCACATAACACATGACAACACGTGCGGTATGTAATCACAACCTATAAAATATAAAATCGAACTAAAACACCTTACGAAATGTAATGTGAGTACAATTTTATTATGACGCTGTCCTAGAACCACGAATGGACAATTTGATATGTGGATGAGGAATAGTAAATAATTTCAAGTGGCGAAAATCTGTCATTTAAACTGTATTGGATGAGTATTATCATCAAATACAATGTGCAAATATTATTTGTAATATTTGGAATAAGAAAACAATATATGGCCAGGTTTTCCTTGAAAACTCTTGGGATAAGTTATTTTTTGGCTTGCTTGAATTATATGTTGGTTGTATGCAACTTCTGTAGCTGTCCATTAAAACCATGTACTTACGACTAATTTGCTTTAATTAACTGATTTTTCAATGTACATCTTATGCTTTGGTATCAAGAATGGCTTAGGTCTGAACTGGGGTTACGGAATAATGCCTAAGTAAGATGAGATCTAAAATCGTACTCGTTTATGTTCTAAAAGATAATGTGATCTAGAAGAATCTACTTGAGAACTATTGCCTTAGGATTTCTTAGAAAAAGGTAATTATCGATAATCTGAGAATTCGAGAAGATATAAATGAGACTCTATCTTGAATAACTCATCTTTTTTCTTTCTTTCTCCGCAAAACTATTAGACTTTTCTAAACAAGGGAATTTCTGACTACCTTTAGCCACTACGTAAAGTTGATAGGACACTTATTTAGCTGATCCAAACAACTAACATTGTGCATGCCAATGAAAGCACATGATTTGCAATCATAAAATCCTGCAGTTTGGGTCACATGACCCTGGAGAAATGACATATTCCCTGATTCTCTGAAAAATTTTGTATGGAAACCAAATTCACTAATTTCGCGGAAAAAGAAAAATGAAACTTATCTTTGTCAGGGAACTGCCGTGTGACAAGGAGTACATATTTCTCTGTAACTCGTCACCATATAACCTAAATGGAAAAGCGACTACTATTACTCAGTGAAAAGATACTTTCAGGTAGGCAGGTTGTTAACATCGCATGAACTTAAAACCTTTGGAAAAACATGGAGAACGTACATAACATCTGGGTGTATATTTGATACTATCATTGATGGCAAGTCAATGAATGATGGGTGTATATTTGATACTGTCATTGATGTCAAGTAAATCAATGATGGGTGTAGATTTGATATTGTCATTAATGGCAAGTCAATGGTTGATGGGTGTAGATTTGATATTGTCATTGATGTCAAGTAAATCAATGTTGGGTGTAGATTTGATACTGTCATTGATGCCAAGTCAATGGATGATGGGTGTAGATTTGATACTATCATTGATGTCAAGTCTATGGATGACGGGTGTAGATTTAATACTTTCATTGATGGCAAATCAATGGATGATGGGTCTAGATTTGATACTGTCATTGATGCGAAGTCAATGGATGATGGGTGTAGATTTGATACTGTAAATGATGGCAAATCAATGGATGATGGCCCTATTCTTGTTCTGACTATAATTCCGACTGGTCATCAATGACAGCAACATAAAGTATGATGCACAACTTTGAGATAAATCATGTATGGAACTGAACATTAAGCATCATTGTCCTGGTCAGGTAGCCGTGGCAATGTTATGCTGAATTACATAATTTCGAATCAATTTTACATATGATATAAATATTCATTCTGTGTGTGTTTCTCTATGTTTTCAAGTTTTAGATATACAAGCAAACTTGCTAGCGGCTGATAATCATATATGCCTGCATTTTTCCTTTCCCTATAGTCGTTGACCACATTTGGTCTTCATTTTTTGATGTAGAAACAGTTGGTTAATGACTGGGCAAATAACATTTTCAGATAACTAAGTCCTGTTGGCTTACAGGAAGTTTTGGTGAGTTCTATTTACTGGTGTGCTTCGAAGCTTTTTGCTCAAATGAGTGTTGTTACACTCTAACCATTACCCAGGTGTAGGGTGGATAAACGGGTATGGTGGCAGTCGTTATAATTTTTCTTTATACTACTGTTACTGATATTATTATTATTATTATTATTATTATTATTATTATTATTATTATTATTATTATTATTATTATTATTATTATTATTATTATCGTTGTTGTTGCTGTCATTATTGTTATTATTATTATTAGTAGTAGTAGTAGTTGTTGTTGTTGTTGTTGTTGCTGTTGTTGTTTTAGTAGCAGTATTTGGTTATCCATTTTATTTGTCATTACCAACAGTCGTGTAACATTATGGTTCTACTACACGTAACTTTTCAGTTGTAATGTTAAGATATTGACAAAACTTGATGTATATATTATTCTGTCCTGTTTTAGTTAGCAACTGTATTTGTGCTTTTGCGAAAGGTCACTTGAAACTCATGGTAGATGATATCCTACCAAATACTGAATCTGCCAATTGGTTAGATAAAACAATGATGAAATAAATGGGGGTGGGGATAAACTGAATGGTTCTGAAGCCATGTGATACAACGTTTATGTATCCAATTGTTTCATGGTTAAAAACAGAATAAGGGTAAATAAATGTGTAATTTATATTGCACAGTTATACATACATACATACATGCATACATACATAAATACATACATACATACATACATACATACATACATACATACATACATACATACATACATACATACATACATACATACATACATACATACATACATACATACATACATACATACATACATACATACATACATACATACATACATACACACATACATCGCAATATAGGGTTGTTTATAAGTAGAAAATTAAGTATCCTGTTTCATTCCAATTTCTGTTGTCATTCATATTTTTGTGGTCCTTATGTAAGTTTGCAGACGTGTTTTATGTCGTTCTTAGGTATTTTTCGAGAGAAAAAACAATTGTTTGGATAATTCAGTGGTGGTAGAAAGTACTCATTATTTGGACAATAATATTATTTTGGAACTGATATTCATTATTTTGGAAAATGCTATCTTGAAATCGTCATGGTTCTTGGAGAATCAGCACACTTCCGGTATTAAAATTTATAAGGAACTTTTCATTCGTTTAGGACTTTCATAGACCTTTAAAGAGAATAGCTTGGATTTAATTTACAATACTGTATGTTCCTCTCACGTGTTTCATTTATGACGTTATTAATTAAATTGTTTGCTAAGTTTAAGAAACT